AGAAGGTGAAACTAAATGTTTTGAAATAAGAACATAAAGTCCTATTATAAATAAGACAATCTCGCTATGTGTACCTTTGGCCTTACCTGCTGGTTTACCCGGTGACGTGGCAAGTGGCTTTTCCCACAAATTGAAGAGAAATTGAAAGGAATTAAAAAAGGGGCAAAAGTTGCGACCCAGCCCAACATAAACCCCCAAATCTAGTGTTCCCGAAACAATCCTTCATTTTCACCATTTCAAATTTAACGAACGAAAAAACCCCTGAAGTGTAGAGAACCCTCAACGGCGAAAGAAAAGAAGGTCCTCATTCGGATTTGCCCACCACGACGACATGAAAATGCCAGTGCCCACAATCAGCTGATCGACGGCTTCTTTCATTTCTTGAATCCACAAGGTAAAATCTGCACCATAGCGAGGAACGGTGTCCATCTTCGACGCTGTCGCCTCAGTTGGATTTTGGAAGGATGTTATGTAAGTATGATATAGTTCATATGAAGGAACCTTGATGATTCGTTTGTTCTCGATTGACGCCCATTTCGACACAATTTATAAATATGTATGTATTTCAAATTTTGACCAACCTGAATTGGAAGAAGGATAAATTATCAGTGTGTGTATTTAATTTGTTCTTACACCCGAATTGGAAGAAGAAAAAAAATTCGATGTGTGTGTATTTAATTTTTTCTTCAACCCAAATTGGAATTGTAAAGATTTGAAGATTATGTGCATTTCTTTTGGTATTATTTACAGAGATTGTGTTCATACCCAACCAAGAAGATTAGCAGTTCAGGTACTATTTACAGAGATTGTGTTCATACCCATTGGCACTTATATTTTGGACGTATAAAGTTCTCGTTAAGGAAATCTAATGTTGTCTCCTTTGCAATAAAAAAAAGTTATCTCTCATTAGGTGATTTGGCCAACTTAGAACATATATGTTAGTTTAATTGATTAAGACAAATGCCAGCGACTTGAGTTTTTTCCTAGTGATTTTTTATGTTCAGAAATGATTTTTTTTTTTAATGTTGATGAGTTGTTGACTCGCAGTTTATGTATAATTAGAATATGCTCACTGCACGGGGTTTAATTTTGGAATAACTGAATACTCTAGTGCTACATAGGGAGTACTATCGTTAGAATATTGCATTATACCTTAATGATGCACTTAAATCATTAAGTGAACAAATTTAGCAGTGTTGGAAGTGTAATGTATAGGTGGTCATTTTAAGATTTCGAATTTGAGACCTATGTTGTGTACATACCTTTATTGATTAGTAAACACCAACACATTTGCAGTTTTGTAATTTGACAATGTTCTGTGTATATCGCATATTGATTGGTAACATGTTGGTTGTTTGTATGTTTGGATGACATGAAAGAATTCCGGAATCTGCCACGGCTATAGAGAGAAGGGGCACTTGTTTGCTGATTGCCCTAACAAACAGCAATGCCTCGCGTGTAGACATGGCTTCATGAAGTGCTTTGAGGTTGCAAGGGAGACAAAGAACAAGGGAAGGTTGTTCAATTGCTGTAGTGCTCGCTATACCTACTGGGAATGGGTCGAAGTAGGAGAATCAAGTGGCGAGTCTAGTACTGTTACCATTAACTCGAATAACTCATCAGCACTTGAAGAAGTTCAACAAATAACTCACACGTTCCAATCTCTTTGTCGGCTAGTGGAAGAACAAGACATTGAAATTTCTGTAAACGTGACAATACGCAAAGGCAACGAAAGTGCGGAAGCGAATAAGAAAGGGAAGGGGCTGACTTGATTAGGATTTGTGTTTTGTTAGGATGTCGTGTAATATATTGTTACTTGCACCTTTCGAAATTGAACAAGTCTTTGCATTCTATGGAATTGTCCAATTTGCACTGTGTTTGCAACATACTTGTTTTATTGCTGCTGCAAAGTTTTACTTTTTAATGCTGAGAAGGCAAACTATTAAATGCTTGTAATTGGAGGGGTAGTGCTAGTGCAAAGAGTTACTTCTACAGATTGTTCTATTGCTAGTGGACTGCCTCTCTCCAGAATTCACAAAAACATCCCTGCATGCAATGTTTTAATCTAGAACATATCCAATTAATAAGTGCACTTTCTGCTGTTTATTAATTTCAGCCCCAATTACAAGCATTTTCCACAATCAAGGTTACAAGAATATGAAAGCATGACATTCCATAAGATTAAAGCATCACATCAATTTCATGAACACTGTATTTTTTTATTTAAAACACTTAAACATTGTACCAATAAGTTGAAGATCATACAACTTAATAATTTCGACCACTCATAACCTATTACATCGCTACATTCTCGGATCCAATAGTTCTCTTCATCCAATGTCAGAAACTTGCGCCATGTTCATCAGGCACATTCGGATAGTAATACGGCATTGCGTTCTGTAGTGCAAAATGTACAAGTTAATACGCAAACAAGAGAAAATAAGAAATTTGAACGACGCATGTTTAAGCATGTTAGTACCTTGACTATTCCATGTAACACTTGTTGAAGCAGGATGAATGACATTGGACAATTGTAGGTGTTGTGTAAGCTTGTGATAGTTCTCACCACCCTACATCAAACAAAAATGCAATAGCACACGTGCTAATGAAAGTGTTTTACATGTAATTGTACCTACTAGTAAGAGTTGTGAATATGACATCGGTGGAGGCATGTAGAATTGAGCTTGATGGTGCGACTGAATTATTGGTGCACCATCTCCCATTTGATCCCGGTGTACCTTCGATCTCCTTCCATTGGCCGAACTCGGATTTGCCTGCAAAACAACAAATTAAATGGGGGCATTATTAATAGTATTACGCACTTTCGTACTACACAAAATGTTTGACGCGTACCTTTGTCTTAGTAGAGCTCGATTCCAAAGCGCTTTTCCTTCGCAATTTCCTAGGTGCACCTTTTCTCTTTGAGCATATCGGATCTTGTATGATACCTTTACCAGAATACTGTGATGCTCCACTTTTCGAAGTTATTCGCTCCGTGCACTGGGATATGGCATTACTTCCACAACTCGACCTCATCGTCCCAACTGATAGTTCTTTGCTTTCTATCCACTCCAGTATCGATTGGACCTCATTCTCATCTTCTGCAGTTATGTTCGCAAGCCTAGCAAATGATTGACACATCTTGTCATTTCTCAACTGTGTCGGGGTGCTACTTAAACCATCATAGTTAACTGCAACCCTTGTGTGAGCTCTGACAACGTCTCTCCTCCACCTCCGTAATCATAGGTGTCAGGCAATGACTTCACATTGTTACGGAGCAATACAGTGATTGCATGTCTGCAAATTATTCCTCGAAACTCAAATAAGTGGCAGCTACATACAGCTTCACAATTCTCTTTCTGAAATGTGACACAGAACTTCTTCTTGTCAACCCAGTCGTCACGTATGACGTCCTCCCATACTTCATATGTAGTCCCCAAGCAGCCCTCTAATGAAGAAATGAGGTCGCAGTAAACCTTTCCAACAAATTCCTCCTGTACTTCCCTAAATTTCGAGATCATATAAACTAGCTGAAACTACTTTTCTATCTCGTACTTCGTAGCACATGGTACCATTTGCAAGAGGACTTGAAGTTCGCTTGAAACTCCTTCTCCACCTTATTCCTCAATGCCCACTCATATTGTTGGACAAATTGCTTGAGCAATGTCTTCGAATGTACGTATCCATCGAAAAATGCATTCATGCTCTCACTGCGCTGAGTCGTCGACATTCCAGCCTAGAATTTTTTCAAATAACAAGGTATCCAACGACCTCCGTTCGTGTACAATCCAGATAACCAGTCATCATCATGCAGGTTAAAGTTATTGATCATCGCTTCCCAACCCACTTTGAACTCTTCACCGGTTTGAGAATTATACACCAATACATGTATAGTAGAGAAAATCACACCCTTATCGACGTGGTATCCAAACTTCTCTGGGAACTTCTTCAATATATGCCACAAACATTACCTATGCCGAGTCTAGTAAGAGTTGTGAATATGACATCGGTGGAGGCATGTAGAATTGAGCTTGATGGTGCGACTGAATTATTGGTGCACCATCTCCCATTTGATCCGGGTGTACCTTCGATCTCCTTCCATTGGCCGAACTCGGATTTGCCTGCAAAACAACAAATTAAATGGGGGCATTATTAATAGTATTACGCACTTTCGTACTACACAAAATGTTTGACGCATACCTTTGTCTTAGTAGAGCTCGATTCCAAAGCGCTTTTCCTTCGCAATTTCCTAGGTGCACCTTTTCTCTTTGAGCATATCGGATCTTATATGATACCTTTACCAGAATACTGTGATGCTCCACTTTTCGAAGCTATTCGCTCCGTGCACTGGGATATGGCATTACTTCCACAACTCGACCTCATCGTCCCAACTGATAGTTCTTTGCTTTCTATCCACTCCAGTATCGATTGGACCTCATTCTCATCTTCTGCAGTTATGTTCGCAAGCTCAGCAAATGATTGACACATCTTGTCATTTCTCAACTGTGTCGGGGTGCTACTTAAACCATCATAGTTAACTGCAACCCTTGTGTGAGCTCTGACAACGTCTCTCCTCCACCTCCATAATCATAGGTGTCAGGCAATGACTTCACATTGTTACGGAGCAATACAGTGATTGTATGTCTGCAAATTATTCCTCGAAACTCAAATAAGTGGCAGCTACATACAGCTTCACAATTCTCTTTCTGAAATGTGACACAGAACTTCTTCTTGTCAACCCAGTCGTCACGTATGACGTCCTCCCATACTTCATATGTAGTCCCCAAGCAGCCCTCTAATGAAGAAATGAGGTCGCAGTAAACCTTTCCAACAAATTCCTCCTGTACTTCCCTAAATTTCGAGATCAT